GTCAAAGCTTTCAACATTTTATTCGCATCTCTCACTGGACAACAACAACAGTTCGTTGGTTTGCTTTACGTTTGTTCGGTTTTTGAATTTCGACTCAATTTCGATTTCTGTTTTACACTTCATTTGTTGACTGTGTTGTTGGTGCGGCAACGCTGAAGGCAGTCGGTTTCTTGTAATATGTGTAAGTGTTTGTATTATATTACAATATATATGAAAGGACACTTTTATGAATGACAATCGTAACCCCCGGGTACACTTTTGAAAAGACTTGAGAACAGTTCGCTGTGTTAATTGAGTTAAGTAGGGCAAAAGTGAGAACATAAATTAAAATTTTTTTTAAGTATTTTTTCAATAATTTTTATAATAACTTTTTTATTACTATTTTGAAATTCTTCTTTTACTTTGCTTTGACGATTTGTTTGCTTTTTTCCATTATGAAAGGACACTTACGAATGTGTTAAATAAGTGGAATATATAATTTTTTAGTATAATTTTTTTTTATTTTTTTTTTTTTTATTTTTTATCTCTATTATTAAGTTCTTCTCTTATTTTGCATTGCCTGTTTGATTACTGTTTTCCTTTTTTTGTCTAATTGGTAAAGTTCTCGTCAACACTTTTTTACTTTACTCACATAAATGCGAGAGGTTAAGCCTTGATACAATAAACCCTAGCCCTATTCTGGCGACTATCACAAATTTTGTCACAACAACATTCAGAGCGAGATTTTCTGGCATATTTTTTGGCGCAGCAGTGCTTCATTACGTATTTAATTAAATCCAAGATTTTAACCTAATTTTTGTTTATTATTTCAATGCCATTTCTTAGACTGAATGAAATAAACAATTTGTTTTGAAAATTTTAAAAGTTTTTAATATTAAATTAATTTTTATTTTCTATTTTTGTTCTTTATTTATTGTTATTTTTATATACTTTTATCAAATTTTTAGTAACTTTTAAAAGAAAAAAAAGCTTTCAGCCAAATCATGATATTACTTCCATTTTCGGAATACCTTAGTATTCTTAAACAAAATGTCTTTTGTTGAAAGTCATTATTCTAAAAGCTTCGTGCAAGCTCAACTGAAGTTTTAAAATTAACTCAGTCCATTTGGCTATGTTTAAGTAAAGAGAGACCTGAACGCATTCAGGAGTTTTCCGCCTATTATCGTGTATAACATGTAATCAAAGCCAAAATATTATTTTTTTTTTTAATTTAATTAAAAATATTTTTTTTATTTCTAGTTAAAATAGTTTGTTTTTAATTAAATTTAAATTATAAATGTTTTTCAGCAATTGCTCAACTGATTTTTCATACCAATATTTTCTGCTGACAACTCCTCTCGCTGTACAACAACAGGCGACCGTCACGCAAATGTCCTTATAAAGCTTTTATCCACCGGAAGAAAATGTAATAAAAATAATCATACACTCTCAAACGTACATATTTATGCAGTAAAAATAGCTGTTTGTGGGAGCTTTTTGCTTTCATTTCATTTACGTTAGGACATGCGCTCACTTGGCTGTAATAACCTAATTTCGTTACACTCCTAAAATTATTTTACGCTCTCCGAGAGCGCGTGTAACAAATGAAAACGTAAAAAAGAAAACAGATTGCAAACATTTGATTTTGAAAAAATGTGTGAGAAGAGCAGAAGAGAATCGACAGCTGCTGCTAACAGATAAATTAATTACACTACATATACATATGTACATATGTATGTATGTACGTTTTATGCAAATAAATAATAACATATTTTTTTACACACACTTTAATAATGAATTTGTTTATATTTCTCGTTTTTAGCTTTAAAGCTTCATTTCATTTGCCGGCAATTGTGGTGGCGCTTTCCAATTCGCATGCAATAATAAATCAGTCTGTCCGTTATCGCTTGCTGTATTTCATTTGTTGTTGTTAGCAATTGTTTACAAACACTGTAGCAGAACAAATTTAGTTTTGGCAACATGTTCATAGATGAATAAATAAACATTAAAGAAATAATTATCCCCATTAACACATTGATGAGCGGAATGTTTTTTTTTATACATAAAAAGGTAATATTTGAATGAAATGCACTGTTCAACAAAACTGGAAAACATTTTTTCAATTGAAAACTTACTCTTTCGAAAATAAACGTCAATAGAATGCATTTAAAATAAACTTTTTTCAATCCTTCCGTTTCTCTACTATTACACAGTTTAGAATCTTGGCATCATATAGGAAACATTCATTCAAATGAACGCCACGTTTTAGCAAACTTCCATCCGTTTGAGGTAATTTTCGACTACTTTCTGGCCCTTATTTGACGGGACCTTGAGTAATGTTGGTTTCCAAGTGTTCCAGAATTGATGGCTTATCCACATAAATACGGTCGTTCGCGTAGTCCTACAAAGAATCAAGCTCCAATGGTATTAAATCGCATGAGCCCGGTGATTAATTGTCATCGCCAAGACGGAAGATTATGCACACCGGAAATTTCTCACGTAATAAAGGCATATTCGCTCGTGTTGTGTGGCATGTGGCACCAGTGCTCAAATCGGTCACAGAAAGTCGGTTATCATACGATCATAACCCTCCAAATTTATCACTGTCAATTCGGGCTTATCGTTTCCAAAGATTGAATCACACTTCCGCACCAAAGAACGCACCCGACTGTAAATTTTTTTTTATTGTTTAATGGCCACTCTTCTATTATTTGGGAATTCTCAAAGCCTTATGTACGTGTATCTCTCGAGAGAAAAATATGCTTCTTGGTTGAAGAATTTCTTGTTCGAAAAATCACTCTCCACTGCTTGCTGTTAAAGCACCTTATTAACGGCATTTTGAATGATCAACCAGCTTGAGTTGTAGTATCAGCAGGACCCGATGTGGACTTAGGTGTTTGTCAAAGAGCAAACGTGGTATAGACACATTTGGGTCTTCGGCTACAATTTCACTTACAGTAGCGATATTTGAGGTAAAACGAGCTAAACGTTGATGCACGATGATGAACAGACACTACAATATCTATAACCGATCCAGTCTCTTCAGGTTTCTCTAAAATTTTATTAACTGCCCGCGTGGTTGAGAGATTCTCTGCACCATAACATTTTCCGATGGCACAAACCGCGACCACGTTTGAATCGTCATTCTCGTAGTAGGTTTTAACTAATTTATGTAAGGCGTTGTGTTGTTATTAAGCGATTCATTTTCATAAGTTTCTAACTTTGAGCAAAACGAAACATGTTTGTTATAATTTTTTAGTGAGCTAATGGTCTGATTTGTTTGTATGAATTTCTTACTTTTGTTAATCAACAATGAAAGTTAGAGTTGTTTCGGAGATTACCATCTCCACTCATCAAACTTTTCACAGCAGGAATCAGACCAGCGTATACTGACTTAACATGTCTGGTTTGGCAGCTAGACTTGATAGATGTCAAAATATAGCCCTGTTCTTTTGAAACCATGAAATGGATGAAATATGTTGTGATATTAACTCATATTTTTTCAAAAAAAAAAAAAAAACTACTAAAAATTTTATTGCTTTACTTTACTTTCTTCACTACTCAGAGCACCCGAATTCGCCGGTAGGAAATCCAAATGAGAGTTCATTTATTAACTCCTTGAATTTTTTGATTACTGATTTCCAAAAAAGTTCTGGCCAATTGTCATATCCGACAAAGGTCTTATCCTTCATTAGTTTGTGGGATTTGTAGATTTAAAAATATTTCTTCTTTAGTTTTTGCCTCGTTTCATATCCATATCTTGAGATACGATATAGCGCTGCGCACAATTTTCTCACCAGAATCCGGCCTTTATGAACGATTTGGAGGTGTTGATACGGGCAAATTTGAACTTGAGTTTAATACTCGTACCTTTGGTTTGGATCAAACAAAAATATCAATCACCAAGGTTATACTTTGGTTCCATCTATTCGTCTTAGCCTCAGCAAGTGATTTCAGTTTTAAAAGCAGGTCTCACTCATTTTTAATTCTGATGACTCGTTTAGAGTAAATAGCAAATTAAAGTAAATTTCTCTCTCGACGAACAAATACCAAACTCTACAAGTCGTCCGACACTATGTATCGTAATTGAGTGTGCTGCTCAAGCATTGGGCGGCATTAGAACTATTCCACAAAAATGTTTTACCGAAAAATTTATGTACCCACCAAAGCCACATAAAATACGGCAGAAGAACGCTCTCCAGCTGTGTTAGATATAAAAGACAGAGTTCAGGGAATAAAGAGCCAATGGCTGCGTTGGTGTTTCAGGTTGTTCGGATGGATACAAGCACTCCAGGTTTGAAAGTATTCGCTGCGGTAATGGGGTGGCGAAACGGTTGGTTGCGCATTGATGTTTCTCTAACAAATGGAGGAGCCTTCGGTTTATTTAGTTTATACTAAGTCGGCTTAGAACAGCTGCTGAATTTTTTTGAGGCTTTTAGTTCACGTCAGAAACACAATTGGAGGGCTTGACATTCACTGCCTACCGAGGAAAGAATGCAATGAATAATATTAATTTTCTATAATTTTGTATGTTGATCGAATCAGGATTCGGACTACGGTTTTCAGAATGTCAGTAGGTTTTCCTAACCACTCAGAAGGTACAAAGTGCCAATTATATATTTATATGTACATCTTTATATATTAAAAATTATTTATAATCGTTCAGTATACAAAATAGAACCTAAACTACAAAAATACTTAAGATATAATCATAGAAAATGCACAAGCAAGATTTATAATATCAACTTAGCTTGGATAAAATTCAAATGATTAACTAACTGAATTTATTAATTTATTTATTGACGCTGCAAGTAAAAAGAACATTAAATAAAGTCGTGACTCGAATCGAGAAACAGACTCAGCCGCAGTAGAACTAAACAAAGTGACAACTGACTGATAGCGGTAGCTGACCAGCTGATAATACATCAAAGAGAGCCACTGCCGAAGGCAATAGCCGATGATCGACGTCGAATATGTACAAAATAATAAAAAAAAACGGATTTAAATCAGTCTTCGAAGCGACCAAGCGACCAGCGAGTAACTTTCGGTTTCCAGCCACAAATCAGTCGGAAAGTGTACGGACAGACAAGTTGCTGTGATGTGTTACTGTTCAGGTGTTCAAAGAATTCAACTAAAATAGGATTAATATTATTAAGAATATATTTCAACAAAAAAAAAGAGAAAGCAACGAAGGTGATAATCAAATATCGAAATAATTAAAATTCTCGAAACCAAAACGAAACGATTAAAGCAGGTGCAACTGCACTTTATTTTGTGAAATTAAAAAAAAAAATTTTTTTTTTTTGTTAAAATAGCTGCATTTGTTGTTGGTAAGTTGGAAAAATATATATGTGTATATATATATTTTTTAAATTCTGGTATAAACCGGCGTAAGCACATCTGTGTGAGTGTTTAAAATTTCTCGAAGTTGTACTACAGTTATCAGTTGTACATATTTACCTATGCTTATATACAAAATCTTATAAATAATGTACTTATATACATTAAAACATCCTTGATGGAGCCAACAGCAGCTTTAAATTTGCACGGCTTCCTTTGAGGTCAATACCGAAATTTAAACAAATCTTAAATGCACTGCATGAAACCACGATACGCCGCCTTTATCCCAGCTACATTGTACACAACTACATACCAATAAGCACACATAAATACATACATGCATACAAGTAGTGGCTGCTTTTACTCTTCACATCATTTTTATCACTTACTCAGTTTATTTTATTTTTTATTTATTTACTTCTTCGCCATACGCTCTCTTATCCTCATCCATCCGCTACTCTTGCTTCATGGCAATTTTATTGTATGTTAAATAATGTCCGCAGCGCGTATTGGCGAGCAAATCTGCAAAGTCGCGGCGACTCTGTCGCTGGCGTTGACGCATGAAGCCTGTGTTGGCTCCGCAGAGAGGATGTGCGGGAATGCATGCATTGGTCTGTTGACGTTCGAGTGCGTATTTTTTTCTGTTTTTTTTTTTTTTAAATGCTAAGAATTTTTTTGGTCTGTACAGCTTTGACTGCATAAATGAATACGTTTTATTTTATTTATGTGTTTTTATTTTTCATTTTGTTTATTTTTTTTTTTCATTTTGTTTTCTTATTTTTTTGCTAAAAATCATTTTGAATGAAATTGTATTCAAACTGCCTCGATACACTTTGATCTCTTTGCTTATATTGATAATTGTCGTTTAGTTTTTGATTTTATTCCATTTAAGGTTGCATTGCTTTGGTAATTTTTTATTTTTTGCATTGCCATACTTCCTCTGGTCTTTTCTGTTTATTTGTGCTCTAGTGTTGTGGTGAGCGATGAAGTAAATGCTAAAAATAAAAATTTTGAATTATTTTTTTTTGGTAAAAAAAATGCGCGACTTTTGATGATAATTTTCTTTTTAGTAAAAAATATGTATGAATACAGTTGAAATGTGAAAATGTGTAAACACACAACACGTATGCAAATCTCAAACCACGTTTTGCTTGCTCTATTTGAGATTTTCAGCTTGAAAGCTACGAAAAATCAACAATTGAATTAAGAAAGCTAGATAGGTTTAACCCAAAAAATAATTTCTATTTTCAACATTTTTTTTTTAAATTAACAATTAAAAAGCTTTTCCAACTATTTACTAATATACATATGTATGTACATGTGAAAAAGAAGTTCTGAAAATTTCAAGTAAAAATATTCATCACTCCGGTATTTTGGCATCATTTCCGCTGAACACTCTCAACAAAGGTGCCAGATGCGCTCAATACAGTGCCATGCCAACTGAAATAATCATGCCATAACCGAAAATTTGGACGAAGGCATTTAAGTACGGATTAAAATTACCTTCGGGGCACATTTTTTAATTATGAATTTTGAAAGCAAAACAATTGCTCATCTAACTATTCCTGAGTCGCATCTCGAAAAACTATGCAAAATTTCATTCCAATCGGTTGAGTAGTCCTCAAAATCTCTTGACAGCAGTCAAGTTGATTTTAGGAATAATACTTTCATGACATCAACGAAAATCGAGATTGCGATGGATTTAAGAAAATTGGGTATAAGCTCTATCTTTGCAAATTCATTAGGTTCCTTACTCGTAGCCAAGCGGTAGGTAAACGCAATGAGAGGGAGTATACAGTTTATTATTTAGTCCCTGGTTACACTCATAGGCAGTACGGTAAAGGTAGAAGGTAACGAAAACGCTGATAAACTAGTTAACACTCAAACAATTTAATGTTTTTAAATTTTTTCTGAAGCACTGGAGCATCGCAGAGATCAACGACTGTCTGACAGCATTATTTGTGGGCAGGCCAAACGTTTACTTGCACTAAGCATGCACAGAAGAGGACAAACCCCTAGAGCAATACTTCTGCGACCGCCCTGTGCGCCCTTACCCGATTATGGCATAATGGCTTCCACGTTGACCCAAGTTCTAGCCTAACGGAAGTCGACAAGTATGGATAAAAGAAAACAAGAAAATTTATCAAATAGAGCGAATCATTCAATAACCCATACATAGTGGGGTTGAGGCTAAAAGCTTAATGTGCCCACTCATTGGCTTTACTATCCCCCGTGAGTACCTCACCTCTCCTTTTTAACGAACTAACCAATAAAAATTTATAAAAATAATATAAAGAAATAAAAATCCAATTCATAATTAATAGATATTTTCTTAAAAAAAAAATCTGGGAAAATCCATATTTCGGAACAAACAATTTTATATGCCAAAAAATTGTAGAAAAATAAAAAAAACTCCGATATTATCATTACGATTAGGCGTAGACATATCGAAAGTAATAATTACAGCCCATCGAATAAGTAAACCATTAGTTATAATAAACAACTTCGAATTCAATGGCATCGATCAGCCTTACTCTGGGCTCCACGCAGCTTCTACTCTGGTTTGTATATCAACAGAAGTTTGTTTTGATTTCTGAACATACAACCATAAAGAGTATTTCTCGGATTCATAGGCTTTTTTTTAACACTCAGCGTGCACTCTTCAAGAGCTCTTAGTTACTTTAACCCTTTCGACTTGATTTTTAATCTTAAGACGTCTTCTAGACAGCGAAGCTTCTAATTAAATAATGGCAATGAAATTATAATAATAGTTTTCATGTACATGAAATGGTACACTAACTTTGGTTCGAAGTAGGTAAATAACGGTAAGATGAGAGCTATCAACTTTTGTACCGATGAGATCAGAATGAAGAGTTGAGTTGATTAAGTCTATATGTCTGCCCGTCTGTTTGTACGCAAACTATTTTCTCAGTTTTTGCACTGCTACTATCTGAGATTGTAAAATGAGGGTTAGCATTTTCTTATTATAACTAAATTAAAGCAATCCATACTAAGCAATCAGCGTATTTGTTTATCTGCCGAACAATTTTTCCCGCTAACCTAATTAATTTGATTTATGAAAGAAAAATTTGAGATTTTTTTTATGCGGAAAGAAAGGAAATAAATTAGCAAATTTATTGGTTTCATATTTAATAGAAAAAAATTTAATTTACAAAAAAAAAAGAATATATTAAAATGACACAAGAATGGGAATTTTTGAAAACTTGGAATAAATTTTAAGTTTTTAGACATACAAAATATATGCACATACATATATCGGAGCGGTCCGCTGCGCTCGGTAAAAGGGCTCATTAATTCAATGAAATCGATGTCGGACACGTATAAAACTTTTTGATTCTCATTCTAGAAGGTTCAAAGAATATTTTTAGCTAATAAAAAATCAGTTTTTTGAATCATCCACAGTGGCCTTACCCTTTTGATATATTTAAATATATTGAAAAGTGTTTAGGAAGAACTTTACTCAAGTAAGTAAAGGTTTGGACAATTTTTTTTTTCTTTTTTGAAAAATATATTTAAACTACTTTTTTTAATACTCACACCTGTTAAAAATGTTTCATATTTTTATATTTTTCAATTTCACTAGATTTATTTTTTGCCTTATTTTCCCAATTTAATATTTTGTTTTTCCCTATACTCTGCAAATACGTAAAAGCATCACCCAAAAAAATATCTCTTATCTAATTTTTACATACACCAAATGAACGTATAAATCAAATTAAATAATGCTTCATTAAAATTTCAATTGATAATGAATAAACAGTCAAAAATTAAGCAATTTTCATAATTATCTTGGCTAAAATGCACATTAATTCATTGATTTATATAATGCACATAAACAAAGATGTAAGCGATTATGAGAAATAAAATGAAATTTTGAATATATTTATTTATTTAAAAAATAACAAAAATAAAATATTACCTTGAACTATGAAAAAAAAATATTAATTTACAGCAAATATTTTTAGAATATATTATATATTTACCTACAATTTTAAATATGCTTATATATTTACGTGCATATATGTGCACGTTTATATACAGTAAAAAAATTATCAGTCGTTCGAAAAAAAAAAAATAAAATTAAAAAATTACATAGATTAACGCCTACAATCCCTTACAAATATGTATATATATTTATATATTGAATATTTACATTTTCGCCGGCTGCTAATGCGCTTAAAGCGCAAAAAGCTTTTTTCTGAACTTTTCTATCGATGACCCTTACGAACTTTGCCTGCAACCAGCTTTGGTGTACATACATATATGTAGACAATTATATTTGCTTTATCACGTGAACAAAAAAATTGTAAAAACAAAAAAAAAACTAAAAACAAACCAAAAAGAAATTAAATTAATAATAGGGAAGCTGTCATTTCTATATTTACAAACTAACAAAATTTCAAAGATCATCATTTCCAATAGCAAAATACTTTGCACGCACAACAATACACCAAAGAAGCCGTTATGTTCGCTATATACGAGTATACATACATACATAACATATTTATAATATATGCGGACAGCAGTTGCTGATAGCAAAATTAGCACCCACAAAAACAAACTAATTATTTTAGTTTTAAATCGCCGAGTTATGTGTGCTGATAAGAATCAATAGTTTTGCAAAAAAAAATAATAATAATAAATAAATAAATATAAAAAACACAAAAAAAAAAAATAATAAATGAAATCTAAACTTTGTTTTCGCGCGTACCAAAGTTCAATATGTTCTGCAGCATAATGTGTGTATTTCAATAGCATTTTTATGTATGTATTGTACTTACTGTTATGATTTTATGCTAGCATCGATTACCCGATTTAATTTTTTTTTTTTTAAAGCGAGGCTTACTGTCTGTGCTGCGTCCGCAATGAGTCAAGTTCAACACAAGTTTTGTCTCGTCGTTAATTACAGTTGCTGCGAACATACAAATTTACATATTTACATGTATTTATGTATAAAATTGATTGTTAGCAATCACTGAGAACTAGTTTTACTGGCTATGTATGTATACACATATTATATAAATATGTAAATAAAAATATAGAACTTAGAAAATGAAATTGAGCGGTAGGAAAATGGAATCGGCAGACTTTATATGTATTTATAATTACATACATACGTATTTAAGGACATATTTGAATATTAAAATATATATTTTTTTAACGTGGGCTTGCGAAGCATATACAATAGGTAAAATAAAGTGTAGACATCTATAGGTGAACACCATTAAAATCTGAAAAATTTAATGAAAATTAAGTTAGCCAAAATATTTATTTAAAACAAGAAAGCCGTGCTGTGCTATATGCTAATACGATTTCGATAACTTTCAGAATCAACATTAATTTGTTTATAAATATATATGTATATAGAATATTAAATTTCTCGCTCTCAGGTGCTCTTTTGATGGATTTTTGCTTCAAAACCCAAATTCTAAACAAATCGGTTGTATGACTACTTCACGGAATGCACCTGCTATTTCAATAATTTTTCGAAAAAAATATTTATTTGTGCCTTCGTGTGTACATTACAGAATTTCATGGTTTTAGCTGCTCTTTTGACGGACTTTTTACCCAAAACCTCAACTCCGACCAAATCGGTTGTCTAAGGGCTATGTGATGAGGGCGTCTTCCACTTTCGATGATTTTCAGCTCGAATGTGAAGTTATATGTAATAGTATGTGATAAAAATGGCAAAGCTTAAGCTGTTCGATGCCTTCTTGATAGAATTTCAACCCAAAATCTCAAATATAAGAACTAAATGTTCCTCTGTTGGATTGTGCATGTTATTTACTATACTAAAAGCATGCCGAGATTTAAATTGTTACAACGCATGTATTAAAGAGCAGGGTGCTTGAAATTTATCGAGACAAAGTTGCTCTATATTTTCCGCTTTGTCTCTCTCGGCTTCATCTCTGCTCAGTGATGCCAAATGCACAAATTCTGAATCCAACCCGCAACTGTTGTTCACCATAGTGATAAGTTATATTTTTGAAAGTAAAACCGGCTTAAAACTAGCTTTATTCATCAAACGTTAATTTCATCAGCAACAATACAAACGAATAAAATTTTGTAGGCGAAGTTATCTTTTGCTTCGAAATTGGCTATGATTTTTTGATTCGAAAGTTCTTACCGTTGTCTGCCTTATAGAGTCCCTTCTTTGAAAGTTCTGCCTTCAAGCGCATACTTTAAGCTGTATAGCACTCACTTACTCATTGTAGAAGCTGAAAATAATGCTGAGCATAACCCAATATACAGAGTCAATAATCTTTCCAACCTGATTTTGAGATTATAAGCGTGTTTCTTGCTGCCCATTAATTGTTGTGTGGTTTTGGTTCTTAAGTAAATTATTGGATCCATCTTTAACTGTTTGACACATACCGATGAAATATTTCTTTTAAACGAGACCAAACGGTGCTTAGATGATCAACATTTTTTTTTGTATTTGTTTTTTCTTTCTATTATTTTTGAACAGTGAGCACTGGACATTGATCGGAGCTTTCTCATAGTCTATTACTCATATAAAAATAATCTTTTAATGTAGACTAATTTACGCAACTTTCTCAACCAATTTTGTCGAGATTTTATGATGTTTTCTGTTGTGACTGCCAAATTTGGGTGTCCGCTGTGGTATGTGGTGAAGCCACTCAGTTGAAATCCGTGTCAAAAAATGCTTTGGTAATGTTATATTTTTCTTGATGGCTTCAGTAAAGTTGGCAACCCGGAACCTTAATTTACTATAAAATAGAGCTCAAAAATTTGTCAATATTTTTCGAATATTTAAAAAAAATTTAGACTCGCCGCACTTATCGATATCCGGGTTTGTAGGGCTCCGCTATAAACAATTTATGTGTCCTTAAAGTAATTAGATTTGGTTTCATTTTCACAGTTATGAAATTTTGTTTTTAGTTATCACCTTTTAGCTGAAAATTTCAGAGGACAACTCAGCCAAAAGGCAAGTGAGCACTTATTAAAAGTAACTTTTCGAGCTCATTCAAGGCATATATTATATATTTTTATACAATATAAATAAAAAAAAATAAAAATATTTCCCTTTTTCTGTTAATTTTCAGTGTAATTTCAACTCGTAAATTCGTCTCTTTAATCAGCAAAAAAAAAAACGCACATACACACACACAAATGTTACTAGAAGCAATCATGGATCCAAATCCAGAAAGTCAGCAACAACAGCGACAAGTGTCACACCACCAACAACAACCACAACCGGGAACAAGTGCTGCTGATGCCGACGATGAAGATGTACCCGAACCCGCACTAGAACCCGTCGGCAGCGGTAGCGTACTCTTCGATAGAGTTCATCGAATGATGGAGAAATTCGCCACCACACGCATTGGGCAGTATGTGTTGGAGCGCGGTGATCGTGTGCTGCGCACAATCGAAGATACCGTCAAATGGAGTTTGCCACAAGGTATAATAGTATTAATGAAAAATGAAAGAGCAAGAAATAATAAAAAAATCTACATTTTATTTTACAACTATCAGATAAAGCAGCTGGGCCTTTGGTACGTCCTTTGCCGTGGATACCCTTTCTTGTGCTAATCATTTTCCTACGTCAAGTGCGCATTTGGTTATCGCTGGTGGCGCTCTTTATTGGCAATGGTCCTGTGACGCCGCATACACTCATCTACTTTATACAAACACGTCGTCGCAAGTTGCGTTCCATACGTATCAACGGCATGAAGGCCATACAACAGGAGGCGGCCGATCGCAAAGCTTTGAAGCCGGAATATGACAATAAATTCTTGGTGAATTTATGTAAAATATTCACCATTGCTAGATGTCGCCCGCGTCTCGGTTGTCAACCAGCAGGCATTGTGTTCTCAGCCGATAATCCCGCTAATCGTGAACTTCTTCGGGTATGTTCGTTCGTTAGGAAAAATTATTATTAATTATTTAAGAAATTCTCTCGCAGCCTCTTCAACCGGCACGCTACAAGTTTAAGCGTGAACGTGAAGACGACGACCCCATTAAGGAGTTTGTCACAGCGAGGTTAATGGCGAAATTTCCCGATGTAACCTCCGATGACGATTCTGATTATGTGCCAAAGGCACCGGACTCTAACGATGATTCGACTTTATCCGCAAACAATACTACCAGCGATACACAGGGTGAATATAGTTTGGTAAGTAGAGGGTTTTTAAATTATTTGGCAAAGGAATCATACAAGATAGCCTCACTCGGTGTTCTACCTCTGTGCCTTGTTAAAGTGTTTGAAATATGAATACCGCAAGCATTCCCTTTCCGCTTGATTTTCTAGTGTTCTGATTCCTGGTAGGATTATTAAATGGTATTCGGTGCATACAAAAGTAGCCTGAATATCAAAATAACTTAATTTGAATGGGCAAAGATAAATGACTGGGTTGAAGCCTTATCAGGCATAGATCAACTGAAAGTTACTACTTTATATAACAAAGTTGCTCAGGGGAGTTGAAAAGTAACTTTATGACCACGGAGCAAAAATAATCCGGTATCATAGCGACATTCTTCTGTTAGGAAGCATACTTGATTAGATGTTTCCTCAACCGGATATCTCATTGAAAGAAAAACTTTTCCTTGGAAGGGCACTTGAACACTGAATATTCAAAATTGACTCTGGCTCTCAAAAAAGAACTCCAACCACTTTTTCAAAGTACTTAGCTCCTCTCCTTCTTCTTTATTGACATATACTCTGTTTACGTGATTTTAGTCCAATTTATAAACTCGCGCTCATTCATTTCTTCTTTTCGCTGCTTGCAGCCAATTACAAATACGAAGTACAGCCAGATCCCTCCCTACGGGGTATTTCCAACACAATGGAGATATTACTCTTCCTCTGCTTCTACTGGCGGATACTACATCGAAAGTTTTCAAAACTAAAACAGTCTTATCCATCCAAACCACATGACCTAGCCAGCAGACGCTGTTTCTTGAGCAATGTGGTCGCATAGTCCCATCGGTTGCGGTATTTGCTGTTTCTAACTCATAGAGAATCTTAAGTCTTACGAAAAACTTTTCACTCAAAACTCCTTACTCCGACTCGCAGGAGGGAAATGATGGCCGACTTGTAGAGTTTGTTTTTCGTTCATCGAAAGAGCAGGTGTGCCCTCTTATAGAATATTGTACATTATCTATTTAGCTCTGCAACTCGTATTTGTTTTCTTCAGCAATAAGTTAAAAAGGACACATGGTAAGGAACCACCCTGTCTTCTTTTGGTATTGAGCCGCTCAGAGATGTCCTTCTCGATCCTGGTGGCTGACGAAGCTTTTGGTGTTCCTTAATGCCACTTAACATAGCCGTATAAGTTTTACGAGGACACCAAATTCAGACATAGATAGACACGAAAGGGTGGTGTGTGGATCTTCTTTTCTAGGGGGTTTCCCATTGTAAGATCGCGTTTTTTATGTATCGGGCAGAGAACACTTAGATTTCAATAGGCGTGCTTTCATTCGATCATATTTTGTTATGTAGCATGCCATGTTGAAATATCTCTCCTTATAGGCCATCTCGTGGTTTTTCAAGCATCCAATTTTTGCTTATCTCCATTTTCAAAAATTAAGGACTTTAGTGAGCTTAAGAATAACGCAAATCAAAAATTAAAGATTTCATTTACTCGGGAAATTTCTATCAGCTAGTCGCTTGGGCAGTTCGGCTTCCAGCTGATTGCTTTCAAACCCGGACTTCGAACGCTCTTAAGAACACGCAAGAAACTAATCCCATTGTTCAGTATAGCAGAAATGGATTGCGGGCGATCGAAAAAGGCCCAGAACCTAAGTTTCAAACATTTCATATAGCGCACACTAGATGGGCGTGCCACGAACTGAACTATGCTCATTTGTTGTAAGCTCTACATCTTGATAATACTTTTTTTAGGACACAAGCGGTGAAAATGTTGACGAGCAAAGCCTCGAAGAGTGCGAAGAAATGGATAAAAATAAATCTCTTAACAAGAGTGAGAGAACTGATGGTGAGAATACGCTAAATGATGAAAATAAGAAGGCAGCTGAGGTGAGGAAAGAAAGCGAAATACCGGAAAAGAAAATCTCTGCTGAATTAAATGCAGAAACAAAAGAAGAGAAAACTATACCAACCATTGAGATTAGCGGCAGTGAAGAGAAAAATGATTCGCCAAGGAAGCCTAAAGATCAAAAGGACAAGCAGCAGGAGATAGTTTCGCCGTCTAGTGATAAAACCATAACGGCTTCACCGAAAACACCAACATCACCAGTGGATAATGGGCAAAGTAAAAGTGGCATAAGCGATGATGTTAGCGAAGCAGAAGCATTAAGCGGTAATGGATATTGATTAAAAAAAGCAAACTTAAATAAATAAATAAAGATTAAAAACTAAAAAAAAAAAATTAAAAAATTATAAAAGAAAAAATAGAAATGAAAGAAAGAAGATTTAAAAAATATAAAAAAGGTATTTTTAACAAATTTATTTTGATATATATTATTTTTTTTACAAATCTACTTACACTTATAAATTATATATACATAATATTTATTGTACACACACACATACATACTTACGACTTAAAATAGTTGTCCTCTAAGAAATTATAACTGAAATTCCTATAGCATTAGTTGTTGTTTTTTCATTTAGTTAGCAAAGTCCAAAAATGAAAAATGAACTATACATATATAATTAAATAAAACTTTTTTATAACTAACCGAAGAAATGCCGAAATATACATGTACCTAAAAATCTAAAAGCAAACTATAATTTATTTATTACGCATTTTAAATTTTAAATTTAAGCTAAAATTTTTAAATTTCGTATTTTTTCTGTTATTTATTTCTAAAAAATTATTTTTTCTTAACAAAAAAAAAACTCATATTTACATTTTCGCAACCCATTACACACACAACTCAGCATAACTCACATTTATATGTCGCTCTCCCACACACAGTCAAATCGCAGACACCAAAATCTCAGAAAGAACATATTTTCAATATTTTAAATGGTCACAAGGATGAGCAGAAGAAGGCAACACCCGGCCATGAAAGTGCCGCCGACACTAAGCCACATATACCGCCAGCATTGTTGAGCAGCACCACTAGCAGCAGCAGCGGAAGCGGCAGTGGCAGCGGCAGCGGCAATGTTCTTGTTAATGCAAGTAATTATCGCGCATTTATTATTATTTATTTTTATAATTATTTGCAAAATTCCTTTATTTTTTTATTAAGCATTTTTTAATTATTAGTTTTTTGTTTTTGTTTTTGTTATTCCCTTTACATATTCAATGAAACCTGATATCAAAGATCCTAACGATGAAAAGTTTATAGATGCCACTGATACTGATTGTTTTGCCAAACAAACAGTTAAATTAAGCAATAAATCATCAACGAAACCCAAAAAAACATCACCATCCCGACAACCGACAACTCCACCGCAAACGCAACCTCAACAACCGCCACAGGCATCTTCCACGTCACCTTCTTCACCATCCTGCTCCTCAACAACATCCTCTTCCTCCTCGTTAGCCTCGTTCACATCTAGTGATGAATGTGTCGTCGCTAGCGCTGATTATAGTGATACGCCCACGCCAACGCCTTCGCTCAATGCAGCATCGTCGACTGAGGACGTCTATCTTAGTCCGATTGGTGTGTCTCGGAAGTTCTAAAATATAAATAAATTGCATTTACAAAAGTGGAGTGTGCGAAGAAAGAGCTTATGGCAAGTTAGCAAAAAAAAATATACTTTTAAAAGCGCATTTCATAAAAAGAAATATTGAAAATACAGACAAAAATTAACAAAAAAACATAAAACTTTTAATTTTCATATTTTGGAAAAAAATTAAAATACATAAAATTTTTATTTATGATTAATTCTGAAAAAAATAAAACATTAACCAAAATAAAAATTATTAAAAATACTGACGGAATTTTAAATTTTTAACTTTCAAATGTTTAATTATTTTAATAAAATAAGTGGCCGCGGCAGCCGAGTGCGATACGGAAGGCTCTGGTTCAAATCACCGTGCGACCAACATCCAAAGTTATAGAAAATTAATTAAAAAAAAATTGAATTAAATTTTCTAATTAAGGTCGCCCGTCGGCAGGGAATTTCAACCCCTCCGAGTGTATTTCTAACATGAAATAAAGCATCTCATGAAAAACCATCCGCCGTTCGGAGGCGGCTTAGTATAAACTGTAGATACCTCAATTTGTGGAAGAACATAAAGACGCAAAACCACAAATTGGAGGAGGAGCTCGAAGGAGAATCGCTTCAGCGATTGCAAAGCGCCAATTATATATATATATATATTTATATATATATACATATATGTATTTTTTATAATTTCTCTGTTATAAATGAAAAAAATCTTTTGTTTTAAATGTTATTATTTTTTAGCATTTGATTGTTTTTATGATTACCAAAATTTTTTCATGTAGACTAATCAATGAGCAAATACATATGTTCTTTCTCCAGCACACTTTATTTTTAAAAAAAAATTTCGGCAACCAATTTCGAACATTCTCCCAATTTTCGCACATCCAGCGCTAATTTTTCATATCTTTACAATATATTTATTATTTTCATATTACTTCATTTGAACATATTTATTATAAAAAAATTAATTCTCAAGCCATATGTACTGAATAAATATTTATGCTTTTTCTCCATGTTCATTTAAGGTTCCCCAGATTTCAGTACATTCCACAAGCCGCCAAACAACCAGCAAAAGCCAACTGTAAGCGTCGAAACAGCTAAAGGTAGTTTACTCATATTTTTCATCATCAAAAATTTTGATTTCCGATATTTAATTAATATTATTTTTCCCCATTTCCACAGCTTCATCTGTCCATGTTGACGTTGAGGATGATGATAATGATGATGATGATGATGAACATTCGCAACATGCTAAGCAACAAAGATCCCAACCGGAGCAACAGCGAGCAGGACATTATCCACAGCAGACGCACCCACATTCTTTTAGGCGTTACCGTCGAAACCGCCGTTGATCATCCATTTATTTTAAAGCACACATACATTTACACATATACAAATAAATGTAATATTTTTAACTTAGTTTAAAAAAGTAAGAAATTAAAGATTTTAATTTGTCTGTTAATTAATATGGATTTCAATGTAATTTTTAACTATTAAATATTAAATAAATACGATTTCACGAAGTCAAAAATGTTTTACTGAATTAAAGGTTGTGTTTTCTCCTTAAACTTGTGGTCTTCAATGAGGCCATACTTCTAACTTTGTGTTGATCATTTTCACAGCTGCTACCAGATTTACGCTCAGATTGGTTTGCCATTTAATAATAATTTCCAATGTTCGAACCATTTCGCATGTCTTATAAAAAAAACAACGTGATTCCCAATTTTTGCTGAAACTTGCTCAGCGAGACGGCCAAGGAAGTGTTTCCGGGGAACTTGTGTCATGGAGATGTCAAGGCTAGATAGTTGCAGAGGTAGTGTTTTAGAGACTCTTCTTCTTCTTTGTCCCTGAAGCTGTGGCGAAAATTATTCGGGTGATAGCCCATTCTTTTCCCACGAAGCACCATTAAACAGTGATCTTTTATTCTACCTATCGTTATGATAAGGAAAAACCGGTCTCGAAGGATAAGATGTTTTGATTTATTGGCGTCTAATTTTGATCAGCTTGCACGTGATTTCTTTCAACCATCTTTTTTATCAAAGGCCAGTTTTAGCATAAACTTTGCCGTGGGCAAAGGTGCATCTGCATCATGTGCAGAGTTTATTGTGGATATAATTGTTCCTTCTATCAGACATTCATCTCCGCACCACAGTGCAAAAAATGCGAAGCAGACCCAAATGAGTTCCCACGCCGTCGCGTCTTAACAACTGGAGCTGTGCCTATTCACTTTATACAAGATTTTTCGGAACTGTTCTGTTTGGTGAGCTTATCAAGTCCAAAACGTTCAAGTATTGAAGTAGAAAGTCCGTTGAACATATCGCACGTTCGGTTCTTACGTTCAACATGGTTTTTAAACCAACAAAAAATTAAACATTTTCGAAAACTAGAACCAAAAGAAAAAAACAAATCAGTGTCCGGACGTTTTAATAGATCTAGTCCTTTATAGTTTTTAGGGTAAAAACAACTCCTAAATGCAAAGTGACAAAATCTATTTTAAAAATTATTAATAATTTATAGAAAGTGGTATATAGAGATGTTTTGGGGACCCTGATTATGAATTCGATGTCAGATTTCCAAAATTCATAATGGCGGGTCCAATATAGCAGTCAAAAGTTTTTCACCCCAAAAAAAACCGTAAACTACTTGGTTTATAAACGGGTATTTTTTTGGTTCTACTTTCCGAAAAAGTTTGATTTTTTCGATTTTTTCCAATCCCGATTTTCACAAGAAAATTTGGTTCATAGATAAAGCTCACTTTTGGTAGATTGGGTTCGTTAATAAACAAAAATGGCGCATTTGGAGCGATGCTAATCCATTAGCCATTGTGAGGATGCCGTTAGATCCACCAAAAGTCACTATTTAGGATGCCCTATGATCCATATATCTTCAAATATGGTCCCGGTCTTAATGCTACAAACAATTGAGAACTATTAGGCCATGATTAATGACATTTCTACATGAACGCCCTACATACTATAACGAAACAAACAATTAGTTGAAGAAAACTTACGTGGAGCGCATTGTCCAGCGCCGTGAGCTCCAACATAGTACGATATATCAACGTTAGATTATTTAATGTGAGGTAATGAGTCACAGTCGTGAGATTAGTCTCCGCGTTAATACTGACATAAGGCACCAGTTGATAAGAAAAAGGGTTCGAAAATTTCGCTTCTTTAAAGGCACTTCATAATGGTGACACAGTCAAGAAAGACAAAAATATAATGGCGTTTGCATAAGGCTGGTGAAACACATTCAAAGACCCTTATCAAATATACCCTAAGAACTTTGAAATGCGACTGTTGATTGCTCGCAGACTTAGACTGGTGTATCAGGTTATGATACATATAGCGGAAATACGCTAAAAATAGACAAATCTACATTTATTTATCATCTTGGAAGATATCTTCCATTGGGCAGGCACACTGGGAGTTTGAGCGCACCATCAAACGAGTTGTAAAGAGATGGAAAAACCTGAAACCTTTGCGATTGCTCCACATTTTGGGTATTTAGAAATGAAGCCACTAGATTGGTAATCTTTGAAGACTTTAGTGTAACAAAGTTTGTTCGAATGCTCAGTTCTCTCACTCCTACACTTTGATTTTCGTCGGACGTGGGATTCTAAGTATGCTCAGCGATGTCACTGTGGCCCCATTTTATGACTTAAGTGAGCTGATGCTTAGTAACTTCCCCATCCGTTTCCGATTTCCTTTTCTTGATCTCATTTTAGTTTGCAGCTGATGAGAAAATCTGTGTCTGACCAGTGTAAAATATAAGTACGATCTCCTTCGGCGATAAGTCTCGGGTACTGGACTGATTAGACGGCGCCTGATTTTCGATCACTGATCTGTTGGACTTGGACGCGTTTATCCTTGAGTCGCATCCCTCGGTCGATTGAACGCGAGGTTGTGTTTTGCTGGGTACGTTATCAAAACAACAAAACAAAGTAAAATCAAAATGCCACAAAATGCATTTCTTGACATCATCCACTTTTTTATTATGGCAATTTTATTATATTTTTTATAAAACACACTTAAAAAGAGAATGCAACAAATCGTGCTTCTTCTACTCAACTTCTTCGAATTTAAATTTCATTTCACCACAAGGCGCTAACATTAAAAGGCTCTTATATTGCAGACCTCTCTGCTCATCCGTCCAAGAGATCTTATATTTACGCAGCAATCGTGCCAACAAAACTTCCATTTCCAAATCAGCTAAGCGCTTACCAATGCACGTGCGAGGCCCAAAACCGAACGGTAAGTAGACAAAAGGATTCTGAGATTTTGTCTCCTCCACTGCAGAGGGCACATTTTTCGGCAACTTCAGCCAGCGTTCGGGCAAATATTCATTGCAACGCGGAAAGAATGCCTCCGTATTGCACAGTTCCATGTTGCGCATGTGGACGCCAGTGCCTTTGGGTACCTTATAACCGGATAGCACTAGATCGCGACCTGTCTGACGCAGTGTGCCCGAAACAATGGGTGTAATGCGCATTGACTCCTTGATGCAGGCACGTAGGTAGGGAAGATTTTTTATATTTTGGACGTTGAGTGGTGATTTTGGGTGCGGTAGTATCGTACGGAGCTCCTCGCGTAGAACGTCCTGCTTATCTTGATTTTTCGCAAGGTAATAGAGTGCTGTTACTACCGTAGAAGAAGTCTGGAAGAGTGAAGATGAAATCAGAGTTATTATAATTTTTTTTTTTTTTTTTTTTTTGTATAAAATCTTATTGGGTGGGGATTTTTACTGTATCCAAACCGCTAAAGAGCATATCAATCGCCATCACAACCGCAATATTTTTATCCACACGCAGCAACTTTTCGAAAACACAACTCGCCTCCTTATTATTCTCCTTTTCGATTCGCTCCAGCGCCGCATCCACAAATTTCCTTGTAATCTCGGTGAGCTGATCGTGTAAGTTCATTAGACGCTTAAAACTACGCGTTTGATAGTAACGCCATATCGATGGCACAATATCATGCTCATAGGTGGCTTTCAAAAACTCCACCATAATGTTTGACATACGCACTGCGTCTGCGTCAACCTCACCGGTGATGAGGTGGAGACGTGAATTCAGCGCCACATAGCAAATGGACTCAAAAGACCACATGCGCAGCTCATTGAAAAAGTCAGTGTTCAGCATGCCGGTTGCAGGATTGCGTACGGAGTCGACTCTGTGAAAGATGTTATTGTTTTTTTTATTATAAAAAGAGGAATGAAACTTGTTTATATAGCGTAATGAGTGTCGCATACTTATCTATCAATTCCATTGCAATACAGTCGAGTTCCGGCAATGCCTCACGCACATTTTGCACCTTCATCAAAATGGGATTGATCTTCTGACGTATGTTGAACCAACGCTCACCTTGCCTGTTTAGTTTTCCGAAACGATAAGCCAGCAATTAAAA